CCCTTCTGCTTCTCCCATAAGTAGGAAACAGTTAGGTTGCTTTAGAGTTGTTTTTTTCATGTGCGGAACTGAATATCCCTTGGGTGTCACTGGAGGGCCTTAGGGCTAGAAAATAAATCTATGCTTAAAGAAATGCAGCGCTCTTGCTCCTGCTATCTGAGGCTCCGTGGTTTTCTTAAGGTTTGTCGAGAGACACCTCCCTTGGCAATGGTTTTTGTCAAAAACATCATTTATATAAGTTGTAACTGCAGCACCTCCGTGCTTGTCATTGAGGATGCCTGAGCCTGGAACAACGCTGCCCTGCAGTATCCCAGCTCCTTTCTCTTATATCTGGCATAATTAACTCATATCTCCTAAATTTAGGTTTGAGCATATCGCAGACATAAAAAAAAAACAGTCAAAACTTGCAGGTTGTGTTAGTTGTGACCTGTGTGCAAGCAGTTTGTGGGAGAGATTGCTGTTCAGGGGACCAACTCCCCGCAGTTGTGTAACTTTCCCTTAAGTTATGTTTTCTTTTTGTTTTAAAGTTTTTCTTCCTTTACTTCGTAGAAAAAAGTAGAGCCGTTTGCAAGTACTGTTCTTCTTCCGCATCGCTTTACGGAGGATACAAATAAAGTCTTGGTTTTCACAGAGGTGGGTAAGCCTGAATTACTTGCTTTATATGTTATATTTATCGAGCATGCTATTACCACACAACTAATTCCCCTGTAAGTCCCGGACCTTTTATTGAGAAGGCTCTGCGAGTGCTTTGCAGAACCCTTAGGTCGGTCGAGGATTCATCTTCAGCAGCATCTTAATGTATTAACAAGCACCTTAGGGGATTTCCTTCGTCTTGATAGGTTTACGTAGACGTAGATTATTCTAGCAACGCACTTAAGGAGTAAACACCTGCATAGATCTGACGAAAGAAGACATGATTAAAGATCATTTATAGCGTAAAACCTTTGTCAGCTTTTTGTAATACGGGAGGATGGTTTAGCGTAGCAGCCGTGTCCAGCTCTGGTGTCTTAAGCTTTAGCAGGCAGCACAGATTAGAAGCGGCTGTTAGTAACTTGTGCTGTAACAGGATAACTTCGGGGGAGGAGAGGAAAGTAATTTTCCCTCAGAAAACCTAAACAAGTCTTTGCTGCACGCCCTTTGTGTGTTCTCCTCAGAGTTCAATCACGTGCAATGATGTGCAGGGCAGTTGAAGCATCCGTAGGAGGCTGGCTTCAGCCTCTGCTGCTGTCTTCTGCCAGTTTATCCCTCAAACAGACCAGACCTCTGTAAATCTGCACGAGACGATCCTAGAGAACAGTTAAATTGTTTACCTGAACGACGAGGTGATAATGCCTTGATGGAAAAGAGGGCTGACAAAAGACCTAAGCGTGCCAGTTTCTTGGGGGCTTTCTCTCACAACCTTCTCACTCACACTGATGTGACGGAAGAGATCCCAGGCCCTGCCAAGGTGTGAACGTGCAAGAAGGTTGAGCCACTGAAAGGTCTGCACGTGCTTTTGGATGGAAGTGTGGAGCTGCTCAGTTTATTCTCGTAAGGACAAGCTGATTCTGGCTTTGAGTGGTGAATATCAGCTTATATCTAAAGCTCAAGCCACAACTGATGGCTTGACGTGTTCTGAGCTTTTCTTTAGGCTTTGAGTAAGGTGTTGGCTCCCTCCATTGGGTGGTTACTTGTAGTTTCATGGGGATGGAGGTGTTGATAGAGCTCCTCAGCAAACAGGATGGGCTTTTCTCCTTCTCCAGTAAAAGTCAACTCAAGTCTTTACTGTTGCTTCTTACTGGGACCTGGAGTGAAGTGGAATTGCTGCTCCTGTGTTCAGTCACCGGCATTAGATGGTTTTATTTGCCTTAAACCGTTCTTTTCTTCTTAACCCGTGAACACACAGTTTTTGGTACTCGATTATCCAACATAAATCACCTATCCAGCTCTGCTGAGAAACAGTTGAACTGGTAATACAGATATTACAAAACTTTTTGGTTTTTTTTCTTGACAGAATGAGCAAGAGGCCGAAATAGCTCGGGAGCATGGAGCTGCTGTTGTGGGAGGAGTCGAATTAATCAAATGGGTATTAATTTTTACTAGGAATTCTATAAATATCCTAATTTAAACAGCAGTGGGGGGTGAGGGCAAGAAACCTCATGTCCACTTTGAAGGTGGCAGCCAATATGAAGAGTAAGAGATGGCTTTCTGTGCTCGCACGTGCGTGTAGGTCAACTTATGTGCTGGGATAATTTATTGTATTCTTTAATATATTTGGTTTTATTGCAGATTCTGGAAGATGAAATCCAAGTGGACTTCTATGTCGCTGTTCCTGCAATAATACCCAAGCTAATACCGTTAAGGAACAAACTAAAACGAAAATACCCAAACACAAAAAGAAGTAAGAAGCAATTCTGTCCTTGAAATCTCAAGTGCTGAACAGGGTTTAACTCTAAAAGTGACACTGAAACTTTTGATGGGGATGTGTAATTGTCATTGAAACACTTGTTTTGTCATAGGTAAGAGTAGTTTTAGGAATCTAGAGCTGTGCTTTTCTCCTATAACAGGTAAATGTGGGATTAGAATCAAGGTAACTTTCTCTGCTGGTTGCTCTTATGCTTGTTTGTCCTGATGGGAAATTCCTCAGGAAAATACAAAGAACTTCAAAACCTATTCAGTCAGGTAGTTGTGTTGTCAAACTGTAGTCCAATTGTTTGGATCCCAGTTTTGGGACTGCTGCTGCTCCCTCGTGCGCGTGATCTCTCCTTTTTCATAATGCTCAAGATACTTCTTCTTCAGGTCAGGTGGTAACAGCAGCAAACATCTGTCTCTCAGTACTTTTCTCCTCCCTTGCTGTCTTCAGTTTATTTTAGCTATTTGTAAGGTCTTTTTCAAATATGGAAGAAAAAAAAAAAGGCTCTTTTTCAGATGTGGAGCATGTGTCAGCTGTGCTAAGCAGTGTGTCTCGAACCGTATCCTGCTTCCCTGCTCCAGCTGTGTTCGTGTTTTACAAGCTGTAGGTTCGAGACAAACCTATTCATCTGTCGAAAACATTACAACAGAGAGTACTCCAGATAGTTTTTAGAAAAGTGGAAAGCTCTGTTCTGTCCTTATGGATGTTTTACAAGCTGTAGGTTCGACACAAACCTATTCATCTGTTGAAAACATTGCAACAGGGAATACTCCAGATAGTTTTTGGAAAAGTGGAAAGCTCTGTTCTGTCCTTATGGACTGACTTAGAGCTTTTCCAGGGTCTATTTCTCTTGGAGCTGTCACGAGACGTCTGGGAGAGGTAATTGTGGTGATGAGGCAACTCTATCGGATGAGCCTTTGCAGATGACATGAGAAACAGTTGTCTTGTGGGAATGGCTGGATTGGGCTAGTGGGTTCCAGGGAATGTGTAACCACGCAATTTTGTGGTCGTAGACTTTGTTTTCAAGAAAGCCTTGGGGCTTGTTCAGAACCTAAGTTGGTAGGTTTCAGTCTTTCAGGCTGCTTTAGGTGATGAAACTTTGCTTTATGTGTTCGTACATAAACAGGTTCTTTATCTGAAGCGAGGCCTTTGTTAACATTTCCTACTGTATTAGCTATTTGTATCTGCTGATTAGTGAGGACAGAGGGAAGGCAGAAGTTATTTATATTGTACATCTTGTCTGTGAAACTGTGTTTTTGGTTGGAGTTTAACTGCATTAGCTGCAAGATTGAGTTGTCTCTCTACCAATGTTATACTAATAAGCATTACTCAGACAACTTTTTTTTTTTTTTTTTAAAAAATTAGACTCCCTGGGCAATGATATTCCCAAAATGTTGCAACACTTCAGAGAATGTCTTGAGTACGCGGTACAAGATGAGCGTTTAATCACGACGAGAATAGCAAGAGTAAGTTTTATATAGAGTTTTTAAGTTTTCTCTGCGAAGCAGAACTGCTGTTAGCCTTAGAAGAGGGGGGATAACCATGATTTTGATCTGTGTGTTCCCAAGGTGTTTATCCATGTTCTTTAACTGGCTTGTGAAGTAAATAGAGCTCTTTCTCTTGGTTATGTAAGAGTATAATTTCTCCCTCCTTTATTTTTTTTTTTTTTGAGCCTTTAATATATTTTACTTGAGGAGTTTTTTATTTATGTTCCCTGCTCCAAACTGTGTTTCATGTTTTCCTTCTGTTTTGTCTATTTGTAATCTTGCCTGATTTTTAGTTTTATTTTAACCGGTACTGGTACAGAAAGGACCGCTACGAGATTCCAAACCAGCTTTGTCTGGTGCTGTTAGAGATAAGCAAGTTGATGAGTTCTGGATGGTGGGTGAGAGTTGCACATGTGAATTTCAGGGGCTTGCTCATCTAAATGATACTGAAAACTGAGATTCTTTGGACTGTTCTGCTCAAGTGTGTTACGTGTTACTCTTCGATACAGGCAGGAAGTATCTTTAGGTGCTTAAGTTTTTGATGGACTGTATGAAATGCCTTGAATCCATAGATCAGTCTGGCTTTATAATATTTTGACTGAATTCTTTCACTTTTTGCTTCAGACTTGTTTAGCCTTAATGACTTTATACTGTAGATCAGCCTAAAATATACTTGTGAACTAAACTGATTGTCAAGTTTCTTCTTGTCTAGTAAAGGAAAAAAAAAAGGAGGATTTAATGACGGTGAATAAATAACTCAGATGCCTTGTCAGGATTCAGAGATGTCCCTTGGCACAAGTCAAGTACAGGTTCTTGGGAATAAACTCCCCAAGTTGGATCAAAAACAGCGTCGGCAGGGTTTTCCGACAGAGTTCACGTGTGCTGTTAACGTTGGTTGCGTGGTGACTCTTAACACTGCACACCGAGCGTGGCGCGCTCTGTCGCGCTGTGCTGGTTTGAGTTATGAGTGGAGGGACGACTCGGTAGTTAAGGCTTGTGTCAAGCGTCTCCACCCTCTCTAGCTGCTCGTTTTTCACTTGACCTACTTTTCCTTCTGTTGGCGTAGCAGCGCCAGAACCAAATCAAGTGTAGGCAAGGCTGGAGAACCTCGAGTGGTTACGTGTGTCTGCTCGCCACTAAATGGAGGGCTTTTAAAATTTCAATGCTGTCAGCGAGGAAAACGATAATTTATGAATTACGTGGAGCGTGAAGATCTATTGCCGTATTCCGAACGGTAGCGTGGATGTTCCCGGGAGTCTGCCAAGCCGGCATTTCTCAAAGAGATGTTTTCCCTTCGGTGCTGCGGAGCGTGAAGATCTATTGCCATATTCCGAACGGTAGCGTGGATGTTCCCAGGAGTCTGCCAAGCCGGCGTTTCTCAAAGAGATGTTTTCCCTTCGGTGCTGCTGTCTCGTGTCGCCTGTTAGTTCAGTTATGGGCAGTGGCTTGTTGTAACGCTGCGCTCCCACCTAAGTTGGCAGACTCAGTGGTGTTTTGCTAGTAGTATTAGAGGTGTCTTGGAAAAGCCCTGAAATTGGCAGCACTCGAGGTTAATCAGTAGCTCTGAAGTTGTGAAACCAAGAATGTAAAATGTCTTTAAGTTGTGGAGCTTAAAGCGAAGGGGAGGCAGATGAAGGTTCTCAGGATATCTCCTTCAAAATCAAGTCATCTGCAGTGAGCACCTTAAAATATTTTCTTTTTTTGATGGGTTTTGACTTGAGTTTTGAATCCTGACAGGGTGCTGTTGATCATTACAAAATTTTCCCAACTTGGAGTTGTCTTGAAAAATCTGAGTCAAATGGGATCCAGGAAGGAATAGCTAGTGTATCCTCCCCTCTGTGCAGAGAGCTGCCTGTGAAACGGTTCTCTGGAAAAGATTAAGATGGTTTGAGGAGGTGAGACTTTAAGGTTTTGCATTCTCTGGGTGGCCACTCCATGTATTCAGTTTGAATATTTTTAAGATCCCATAGAAAATGAGAAGAATTGAGACTTCCTGAATCAAGTTTTAAATGTGGTGTGTTTTGGTGAAACTTGTGCAATGCTTAATAGTAACAGGCAATTTCCTAGTAGGCAGCTGAGTTAGTGGGAAGCCCTTTCAAAGATAAATTTATTTCTTACTTTAAAATGAGGAACAAATAAGTGCCGTAGCTGCTTTAGAGAGAAGCATCCTGAACTTCAACAGTGAGATAAGTAGGAATTAATTTCCGTATTGTGATTGTAGGGTATACTGTCGTTTTGTAAGGTAGTTTGTGGTCAGGTTGTATTTAGAGTGGACTAGAAATGAATTCAGAGCTGCTGCCTGTGCAGGCAGGGGTGTTCTTCAGAAAGGCTCAGGACTTGAAGTCCTTTTGCTCTCACTGCAATCCGTACCAACAGAGCAGCTTGCACAGCCTCGACGATCTGGTCCAGAGTACGTTTGTCAGCTTGGCAGAAGCCTGGATTAAACTCAGTATCTAAGTGCTGATACACGGTGACTGCGTATACACAAGAATTTACTGTGGGATGCTCACTTGGGGGCTGGGATATTTATTCAGATGTGGAAGCTAGTTGGAAATACTCTAAACCCTCCGAGCATTACCTGTCTACAGGTTGGCATCTCAAGTAGATTATGGTACGTGATGTTTCAGAGTGTGACATATCTGACTGAACACAAGTCCCTTTGTCCTATTTTTCTCTCTTAACAAATACCGATTAACTCATGTCTTGATATTTTGACATGCATCTTGTCTCGTAATGTCTTGTACTACTAAATCTTTGTGAGAAGTTGCAACTTTTTTTGCATCAAACTTCTGTCTCTTAGGAATGCTTCTAGATGAATGCCGA